AGAGAGTATACTTTTCAGAATTCTGATCCTTATATTCGTACGGAAGGCGATATATTGAATTCTTTTCCAGATTCTCAAGCAAACAGATAGACAGATATTCACCTTTATGTCTCTATGGAAACACGACAGGTACCCTTACGAGGGGAGAGTATCAACTCGGCGTTTATAAACCCTCTCTGCAAAGGAGGTCGGCGCATGGTGGGTTAGGTATATACAGTGTTTTTCATTGCAGAGAAAATCGTTGTTTATCTGCCTACCTCGTCTGCATTGAGAGTTGATGAATAATCATAAAAATATATCGCATTTCAGTTACGAATGTTGAAAACAATATTCAGACTTTATAGATTTATATTCAATGTACGTCTCACGATTCAAATTTCAAATTGATGCTTAGTTTTAGATCCGAGCAGCACACTGTATGGCATTCATGGTCCTTATTATAACCTACGAGATTCAAAATGTAGCAAATGTCTACTGGGAAAAACACAATTCGGAAGGAGAGCGAATATGAAGCATTACAGTTTCGGTTGTTGGAAATATTATTCAGGTATGTTTCAGATTCATATTCAGTTGCAGATCCGAAAAGCAATATTCAAACTTTATAGATTTATATTCTATGTACGTGTCACGATTCGAATTTCAAATTGATACTTAGTTTTAGATTCGAGCAGCACATTGTTTGGCATTCATGTTCCTTATTATAACTCACAAAATTGAAAATGTGGAAGATGTTTACTGGGAAAACCACTTTTCGGAAGGAGAGCGAATAGGAAGCAATTCAGTTACGGTTGTTGGAAATATTGTTCAGGTATGTTTCAGATTCAGCATCAGTTCTGAATCTCATGGACTTTCTGATATGTGATATTTAGTTTCAGATCAGAAAAGCAAAGTGTTTGATACTCGTCAATAAAATGGAGAAAACAATCCAGCCAAGACGGACCGAACAGAAAATCCGCAAAGAGAACTGACCAGAGAGTATACTTTTAAGAATTCTGATCCTTATATTCGTACGGAAGGCGATATATTGAATTCCTTTCCAGATTCTCAAGCAAACAGATAGACAGATATTCACCTTTATGTCTCTATGGAAACACGACAGGTACCCTTACGAGGGGAGAGTATCAACTCGGCGTTTATAAACCCTCTCTGCAAAGGAGGTCGGCGCATGGTGGGTTAGGTATATACAGTGTTTTTCATTGCAGAGAAAATTGTTGTTTATCTGCCTATCTCGTCTGCATTGAGAGAGTTGATGTCATAAAAATATATCGCATTTCAGTTACGAATGTTGAAAACAATATTCAAACTTTATAGATTTATATTCTATGTACGTGTCACGATTCGAATTTCAAATTGATGCTTGGTTTTAGATGAGAGCAGCACATTGTTTGGCATTCATGTTCCTTATTATAACTCATAAAATTGAGAATGTGGAAGATGTTTACTGGGAAAAACACTATTCGGAAGGAGAGCGAATATGAAGCAATTCAGTTACAGTTGTTGGAAATATTATTCAGGTATGTTTCAGATTCAACATTAGTTTTAATTCTCATGGACTTTCTGATATGTGATATGATCTAGTTGCAGATCCGAAAAGCGTGTTTCATACTTGTCAATAAAATGGAGAAAACAATCCAGCCAAGACGGACCGAACAGTAAATCCGCAAAGAGAACTGATCAGAGTATACTTTTAAGAATTCTGATCCTTATATTCGTACGGAATGCGATATATTGAATTCCTTTCCAGATTCTCAAGCAAATAGATAGACAGAATTCACCTTTATGTCTCTATGAAAACACGTATCCTGATAATAATATTCTAATATGACTTGTCCAAATAAGTATTATGGTGAATAGATATGTATATACTTTGTATATTATGAATTGATAGTCTGACATTGATGTGACATTTATATAATATAATTACTACTCAGTCTTATAATTTCTATCACGTCGGGGTCACCAAATTGTGGATACAGAGTATCAAATCATAATATACGAAGTATATAACATAACTAATCAACATACTACCCCCCTACCCCCCAAGATGAAATTGTACTTTTTTCGAGAATTTTTCCTTGGTGTTTCTTCTGAATTGTAGTCTGCATTTTGAATTTTTCTTATTCAAGAAAACATGGCTTGAGCCGTTCGATTCAAAATGTTCTTCTCTTTTCCATTAATGGAGAGAGTAAAATATTTCTCTGACCTATGTAGTACTCTATAAGGTCCATAATACGGTGCTTGAAGCGATTTGTTAACGAAATCAATCAAACATGACTACAGGAAGGAAGTTCTTTGAAAATAAAGATCTTCTGACTGCTGTGATTTGAAGCTTTTCCAGGTTTTATAGTTTCTAAATGTTGCTGAAGGTTCTTTAGAATATCGCTGTAGTTGCTATCGTTCGTTACGTCTATCACGTACTAAAATTGGTACAAGAATTTTCACATTCTGACCATAAATCAATTCTGCACATTGGTGAGGAGTAATATGGTGATTAATAATTATTGTATTATATGAATGTCACATCAATGTCAGACTATCAAATCATAATATAAAGAGTATATAGCACAACTAATCACCTTATATTAATTTTGTCCACATTCAGTTCACATTCAAATGAACTTATTATTTTGAACTGTATTGGCATACTACTTAGTTAAAATTGACAAAATTTTGAGTCGTTGAAAATGTTGAATTCTCAGATCCAAAAACATTGCCAAGTTTGAATCTCTGGTAACTCTGGAAATTCTGGCTTATCTAAATACACTTTGTCCTGGCATACCAATGTCAACAAATTGACTGGAGTTTGAAAAATATTATGAATCTATTTTTATTAGCAACTGTTATGTTGCTTATACTGAATTTTCATTTGCTGAATTTTCACAGAAAAAAAAATTAAATTAACATGCAGTATCCTTCTAAAATCTTATATGTGAAGAAAATTCTGGATCCCCAACTGCTTCTAATGAACAGCTAACGTGATAAACCCTGTATATACATATAGAGAGAAGTGCACAAAAAACGGTCAGGATTGGAACTTTTGAACTATTCTAGATTGAATTGCTCATTGATTGATGAAACAATTTTTCTTTTATCACTTCCAGTTTCACCGGAAACGACCTCAACTTTTGATTTTTGAATGGGACATCCTGGATTGTATTCCATAATCTAGGCATTATCATGACGAATTCAATGATAGTTTGCATATGCTCAATGGGTGTGACATCGCAATATCAACATTTCTTTCTCTGTCATACTAATGAGCATATGGAATCTTAGACAATCCCTAACCGATTACGGAAAACAATACAGAGTGTCCCATTTAAAAATCAAAAGTTGGGGTCGTTTTCAGTAAAGCCGGAAGTGATGGAACAACAATTATTTCGTCAATTAATGAGTTATTTCGTATACTAGCTGCCCACCAATTTTCAAAATCCTATCTCGAATAAATCAAAAGTTACAGTCCTGGCCTTTTTTTGTGCACTTCTCTGTATGTTGTGGAAGAGAAAAATAGTTGATCATTTGAAATAAAACACAAATAAAAGTGTCCTCATGTCGACAATGTTAGTGCGCATTTGTGTGAGCTGTTAGCGACATTCTGAAATTCTTCGGCTCATAAGAGAGAAATATTGATGACCGTTATTAGAACATCTGCTTCATTTCGGTTTTTATGGCTGCCTTAAGGCAATTATCGCTAATAATCGAAATGCCCTATCGCATCTCATGCTTGATGGAATGTCTCAATCAATGCCTCAATCCGATTCAATGAATTGACGGTCACTAATTGCCTCAGATATTGATAATTCCTCAACTCTATTCACCTGGATATTTGTATGATTTCAAATCATGAAAAATATATTTTTTACAGGACAACAAACCAAGAAAATATAAGTAAGTACCTACTATATAGTCACACATATATTTTTCATTTTGAAATTTGGTAATTTCTCTGATTTCTCATCGAAATTCCTTCTGCAATAGGAGCTAATAGAAATACTTGTGAAATTTCTAAAAGAATCCAAGAAGAATGGAATCATGCAATCAAACGGGAGGACTGGTCTGCCATGTTGACGAAATATGATCGTGTGTGCTGTAGACATTTTCAATTTAATAGCAGTATTAGCTTCTATTGCAGAAGTGGTAGAAGGAATTTTAATAAGAAATGACAAAATTTCATGAAAAAAACTATGTGAGATAACTAATTACCTGAAAAATCATATTCCTTCGTCTCTCGCTGCATTTTTTGTGTATTATACAACAGCACAATGAGGAGGCATGCTTGAATAAATTATTAGCGCAAAAAACACGATTCGTTTGCCAAATATATTGTGAAATACTATTTCAATCCTTTGATTCATCTGTAAACAAATGAAAGAAGTAGGGTTGTGTTTCAATGTTTTACAGAAAAGTGAGGTTGTATTCCAATATTTTACCTCCAGTGTCAGTCATCGTGCACGCGACCTACAATGAAGAAAAAGAGGAGGGATTTCTATTTTACATTTTTCTACTTTATTTTCGCGAAATTTCGTCAACAGTTATTTTCTTACTTGATTGAGATTATAAATGGATCGATGAAATAAACCTCTGGTGTACGCACTTCAATCCTTTCCTATTTCACAATTCCTTGATTTTCGCCTACTTCGATGAACATAACATGGCGTGGGTGAATGTCGCTAAATTTAGTCTGGTGCCGTACCAAAATTACAGGCATCAATGTGACAATTGTGGCCGAATTGTGACCAATGAAGATAGGGAATATATTTTGCGATTTAGCCGCATCAAGGTTGGTAGAGCTGATGTTGATCATAAGTTCTAAGAATCACGCCATCTAACATTCGATATCTGAACCCCACGTCATCGTCTGAAATTCAATTGTTTATATCAAGAACAAGTCTGACGAAACAAATGAAGAGTGAGCGCACCATGGAAAGCTGCTTTTAGTTTTAATTTAAATATTTTCTAGAAGATACCGTCATAGTTAGCAAGACAGTGTAGAGGTCAGAGAAAGAAAAAATGGAAAAAACTTTATAATTGGTGAAATCATGAAATGGTGTAGCTTGATTATTGCACATGAAAAATATAAAAAAAAAACAGAATGTTCCATTTTGAAAAATCAATATGTGGTTTGTCAAGCTTTTAGGGATCACCCTGTAAAACTTCTAATAAGGGCCTCATTGGGGCATTCAACTTCAGCATATCATTTGTTTTTTCTGGATAACCCTGTACAGTGAACCAAAGTAGTCCTATAATCCTTGACTCAAAATGCTGCCCTCAGTGCCATCTTTTAGACAATACTTGAACAATCATTTTGAAGATTTCTATAAGGCAACAAAACTCATATTTATGTGAGCACTTCTCTGTTTTCTTCTTTTATTTATTTCACATATTGACTACACAATATCTATGAAATGTTTGATTACAATACACATGGATATGAAGGATTGTATCAAAGATTACTGAACTCTGTTCTGCTCTATCAATCTACTCACTCTTTTTACTATTCACAATGCTTGTAAGCTATTAAAATGATTTATTTATGAATGTTTTGTAAATGATAGTGGACATCCCCAAACAACCCCATCACATTCATAAATCTCTGGTTATGTACACAACCTTGATTGTTCATAATCCTGAACCACAATGCCAATTCACTTGGATTTCAACAAATTCAACCCTTTGGGCTTCAACTTATTCCCAAGAATCTGCTGTACCCTATTCTCTTCAGCTGCTAACAACTGTTGATGTCTGTCCACAGCGAAATCTATTTCTGCTGACAATTCTATGATCTGCTTCAAATTTTCTCGGTCTCTCATGATTCTCTTAGCTTGGCCAACTGTGTAGGGAGTGGGTCTACCATCCACAAAACTGTAATCAGCTTTACCTAGAAGATCCCCAGCATGGTAGGGGTTCATAGGAAGTCCTCTGTCTTTTCTCCACTTCTGTATCAGTGGAACCACAACAGTTGTTTGTATATTCCTAGTTTGCACAGCTGAATAGACTAGAATAGAAAAACATCCAGAAATAACCTGTGAACTTGTAGTTCATTAAAACACTTACTTGGATTGAAAACTCCACAAACTCGTTGGTAAATCATGTTTCATTTACGGAAATATCAATGTATCAGAGTGTATTAGCAAAAACTTGAGGTAAAAATAATAAAATCAAATATACCCCTCACCCTGTCAACAAGAAACAAAAATAAACGAGGTTTCGAGGTTATGTTACAGTTACATAGGTCGCGTGCAAGAACTGTCAGATGACTGACCCTGGAGGCAAAACATATTTGTTTACAAGTGATCGAAATAGTTGTCCACAATTATTTTGGCATATGAATCGTATTTTTCCGCTATTCATCAATTCGCTAATGCCATCACATTGTGCTGTTGTAAAATGCACAAAAACTGCAGCGGAAGATGAAGAAATCCGGATGGTACATTATGATTCAAAAGTAAGTACCTACCTACTATAGTTACTCACATAGTTTTCATTTTTGAAATTTGGTTATTTCTCTGATTTCTCATCGGAATTCCTTCTGCAATAGGATCAGCTAATAGAAATATACCTGAAATTTCTAGAATAATGCAAGAAAATTGGATTCATGCAATCAATCGGTAGGACTGGTCTGACATGCTGACGATCGTGTGTGTTGTAGACATTTTCAATCTATTAGCAGCATTAGCTTGTATTGCAGAAGTGGCAGAAGGAATTTCAATAAGGAATGACAACATTTCATAATGCTAACTGTGTGAGATTACTATTTACCTGAAAAATCATATTCCCTAGTCTCTTGCTGCATTTTTTGTGCATTGTACAACAGCACAATGCGAAGGCATGCTTGAATTAATGAATAACGCAAGAAGCACGATTCGTATGCCAAAATATTGTGAAAAACTATTTCAACCTTTTGATTCCTCTGTAACCAAATAAAAAAGTGAGGTTGTGTTTCAATAATTCACAGAAGAATGAGGTTGTGTTTCAATATTTTGCCTCCAGGGTCGGTCTTCGTGCACGGGACCTATTACACAATTCTTCTTCACCTTAAAAGTCGACAGACCTGGCGGAACCTAACCTGTCACTATAATATCACCCACAAACATTGCATTTTTCAATTTTTTATTGATTTCACCTATTACTCACCAGTTCAAAAACTAACTTTATGCATTTCAAGCATTCCGTAATGTCTGTATTACTGTGCAGTGTGCCGTTATATAATACACAAAGAATCGAGGACAGTGACAGAGTAGACACAATGCCAATGGACGGGACGTGGAAGTTTCTATTGCAATGCTCAACTGCAACGTTGCCAATTGTCATGCTTATTCCGTGGTGATCAATAAACAGAGTTCATGGTCATTTTTCATGAAAGTGAAAAAGTTAAAATGAAATGGACCATTACATGAGTTTAGATATAGCTAGGACCAAGTATTAACGTATTTTAAATAGCTGCTACCGAGCTACCGTGGAGCTGCAGTCTATAAATTATGTTTCCGGATAAATCTAGAAGGCAATGCCTGTCATTTTTGCGTAATCCGTACAGTTTTCCTTGGCAATAATTAAGTGTTCTCACGCTGTTTATTCGTTATTTTGTTCTAGATCCGAGCGACGGACAGAAACACGTGCATCTTAGAGCTTCCTGCGATATCGTAATATACAAATCGTAGTTTTATTTCATTAATTTTATTGCATATTTGCACGACTAAATAAGTTATGAGCGCTTCTTCGATAGAAACATTCCCACTGGCCACTGGGCTGTCAATTCAGTTGGCACTGGTTAGGATCATTAGAAACAAAAATTATTGAACCGTATACCTACGTATTTTAACGTTTGAACATAAAAACCACCAAATAAGTGAATGACTTTCAGTTTGGGTACGTTCACCTAGCTGAAGGTGAAAAAGAAAAAATGAAGTCTGAAATTAAATGTAATAAATATTGGTTGAAGTGAAGGTCAATAGGTCTGAAAGCGATCACCTCTTGTCAAGTAGCGAAAAGTCGAAAAGTATACTCGCAGTATGTGGCCTTCCTGGTAATCCTGGTATAAAGCCAATCATAATAATGTATATACAGGTATAACTATTGGAAGTAGAGACGAGCACGAAAGGTCGGTCGATAAATCATCAAGAAGAAAATAAAAATGTAACTATATTGCCTGTTACAAATAAGTTCAAGCTGAAAATCCTCATCATGAAATGACTAACTAACCTTCAAAATTTACAGATTCTTTTTTTTTTTTTTCGTTTCAGCAGAAAGGCTATAAGAAGATCTACAAATAAGTAATCGCAAATTTCATCGAAACATTCTGATTCGCAAGGGAGATAGGTAACCAAAATGTGTATTTTTAAGTGCTTTTCAATTCTAAGAACCATCATCATCAGTTCTCATATATTTCCATGGAAAATAAACACTCAAAGTCAGTCGACCACACTTTATGTAGAAATCAGTCAAATAAATAACCGGTTTCGGCACGACGGCCATCATCAGACTGCAGTACATAAAATACATGATGAATGTAGAATTGTGAAAAATATTTGTCACAGGAAAAACAGGCCTCATATAAAGACACAATGAATCATTAGAAGTTAAAACATCATTGGATTGACCATCAAGGTAATAGGTCAGGTGGAAATAAGTTTAAAGCGGCTGAAGAACCAGAAAAATCTGGCCCTGATGAGGTTGACCATTGAAAAACTAAGTTTTTAAAAAAAGTTCAAATCGTTGTTGACCGGAAAAAAATTGATTTAGAGGATGAAAATGATAAAAATATTATCTATATAATATTATACTATCTAATATATTATATTTGTATACACACATTACAGCGATGGAACATTCGTAATATCGCGGTGTTGCCTCATCACATCTCAGAGATGTCATGTCGCAGATGTGTTTGCTGGGTACCAATGACAATATCCTTATCTGCTGATGTATGAATGTGGGGAATACCATAATTTATTTGGAAACTTGAAATTTTACTAGAGCTTACATGAAATTCCCTCGAAATTGAGTTTCATCTCGAAATCATTCGAAGAATTTTGATGGAATATTTTTATGAATATTATTACGACCGGTCGTGGATTTAGACACTCCCAGAACTAATTATTTCTACATCACGATGGCATGAAATTAGGGTCGTAAAAGTCCAAGTCCACTGATGTGTGTCTGGAGAAAAATTAACAATAATAAAAAAAACGAAGTTGCTCAAAATTTACACTCGCAACTGAATGAAAATTATAAATTATAATCATTGGTCAAAATTCGAAATTGATCTATATAACATAACCTTCAGATAGTGAATTATTTATTGGAAAGTACAATTAATAATAAAGAAGCATTAAAGCTGAATCACATTTGATTGATGAATAATTATCCGAAAAACTTTGGTAATATACTGAGAGATATGGATACGATCAGAGGTTTTTTTACGGATAAAGGCCATGGAATTTCCATGGTGGAAACAATATTTTGACTTGGCATCGTAGCGTGATCGTAGCATTCACTGATGTTTTTATTTCTTGCTGTGACAGTCTAAAGAATTAGGTTATGTTTTGGAATCGCAGAGTTCTCAATCGAAATTTTCAACATGATTATTACATTATCATCTGAGTGGTTCTGATAATCAATAGGTTCTGAGTGAGAGGTAAGTCAAATATCATTATCATTTCCATACCGATCGACCAAAATTGAATTAACGGCATCACATTGACAACATATCCGTGAAATTGATGATATACGCTTATTACGAGGGGTACACGTGAAATACCCAACATCTTTCAGTAGGTCGAGGTACAGGTGATACGTAAGAATAATGTGATAATTTCTTGTCCCGATTCTTGCTGTGGCTACGTCCAACCATACGATTTCTTTCTAGATCTTCTTCGAAAATGGACGAAGACGAAGACACGGACGCGAACAAAATCAAAAAAATCAGAATAGTCGTCTTAGGACTGTTATTCCACGTCATACTCCTCTTGGCAGTATTCGACGTATACTTCGCCAGCCCTCTAGATAACGGCATGACCCCGGTCAAAAGTACGAAAAACCCACCTTCCAAAAGACTGGTCCTTTTCGTAGCCGATGGCCTGAGGGCAGAAGCAATTTTCGGCGAAGAAAAGCAAATCAGAGCTCCGTACCTAACGAACATTTTGAAGAACGAGGGCTCCTGGGGTACAGTGCACACGAGAGTACCGACAGAATCCAGACCGGGTCACGTAGCCATGTTGGCCGGCATTTTCGAGGACCCCAGCGCCATCTTGAAGGGCTGGAAATCGAACCCGGTCGACTTCGACTCGGTCATCAACCAAAGCACCAACGCTTGGGCCTGGGGAAGCCCCGATATCATCAATATATTCAACAAGGACAACTCCCCTGCAGTCCACCTCCATTCATATGGCTCAGAAATGGAGGACTTCGGCAAGACCGATACCGGAGCTTTGGACACCTGGGTCTTCAGGAACGTCGAAAACTTCCTCAACAATCAAGTACTTGGGTGCTCGGATAAATGTGCTCAGTACCACGCCTCAGGCAACATATTCTTTCTTCACCTGCTTGGTATCGACACCGCAGGTCACGGGTTCAAACCGCACTCCAAAGAATACGTGGATAACATCAGACTAGTGGACGGAAACATCAGGAACACGGTGGAACTTTTTCAGCAGATCTACCATGACGGTTCTACGGCGTTCGTGTTCACTTCTGACCATGGTATGACTGACTGGGGCTCCCATGGCGCCGGATCATCCCATGAAACTGAAGCGCCTCTGATAGCTTGGGGAGCCGGCGTGAAAAAGAACCCTGGTCGACAAGACCTAAATCAAATTGATATAGCGCCTCTTTTGGCTTCGTTGGTAGGAATCAGCATACCTACAAACTCATTGGGGCGGCTTCCAGAGAAGTACTTAGATGTTTCTGACGGTCATATGTCTGAAATGGTTTTGTCTAATACTCTGCAGCTGTTGGAGATATTCAACGTCAAGAGACTGAGGACTGAGGCTAGTGCTTTAGTGATGATACCTTTCAAGGGTATAACTAGTGACGTTTTGGTTATCAAAGTGGAAGAACTGAAGCAGATGCTAAGTAGTGGGAGGTATGAAGAGCTCATTAGTGAATGTAAATTGGTGATGAATCTTCTTATAGAAGGAATCAACTATTACCACACTTATTATCAGTACCCTATACTGATAAGTGTAAGTATAGGATTCTTGTTGTGGATATTATTCTTGGGATTGTCGTTATTTGACTATGATAAAGGAAATGATAACACTTTTAGAGAGATAAACCCTATCTATGTTATCCTCATAATGATTGTGACTTTGTTATGTTTCAAGAGCAACTTTCCATTGACCTACTACATCTATTTCATGTTTCCTGTCGCTATGTGTTCGATTTGTCGCAGACTAACTAGATTTACTTTTCCCGCAATGCCAAAATCAACAGTGCTCAGCTTGGTTTTCTATGTAGCTGGTCTGGAACTATTGGTATATGGCTTCTTCCATAAAGCAGCATTCAGCTGCGTCATGATTCTAGTGGGACTTTGGATTTTTGTCTCGGATTCCTTATCTATGAACTCCAGCAAATCTGAAAAACTCGTTTGGTTGTCCTGTTGTTCAACTTTGGCCATTTTTCCTAGTCTTCCTGAGATGAGAACATCTTTCAATGTACCGGTCTATGTCTTGGGCTACGTAGGTTGGGTAGTACTCTTCACGAAAATATTCTTGAGAGACAAACAGATTTACCAACGTTTGGACAAAATCAAAGTCAGTCTTAGAGTCTTCGTCGTCCAATTTGTAATATTGAACATAGCTGCAGCATATGTTTTATTACTAGAGTTCGGTTATATACCTCCTGACTCCAAACTCAAATACATTTCTTGGTTTATACTTGTGGTGCCCATTGTGATAGTCCCGTTTTCCAGTAAGTTCATAGCTTTGAGACTCGTCGCGACCTTTTTTGGGTTTTCACCGTTTTACTTGTTGGTGTCCCCGAACTTTGAAGTGCTATTTTCAGTATTTTACGTAGCTTTATTATGTACTTGGTTGTTAATCGAAACCAAGACTTTCCGTTACGGAGATTCCTACAAAATAATCTTCTATTCCAAATTCGAAAATGACGTAGGTAAAAACAAAATGTCACATGATGTTTTCAGAAGGGCGTTCTTGTTCATGGTTTTCATTTTTCTAGGATTCTTCGGTACTGGTAACATAGCCAGTTTGAATTCTTTTGACCCCATGTGGGTACGTGCGTTTTTGACGGTTTTTAGCCCTTTCAAGATGATGGGGTTGATTCTGCTCAAGTTCATGGTACCTTTCATATTTACTTGCAGCATCTTCAGGGCTATTAATGTAGTGGGGAAGGAAAATATTTTGAAGATGTTTTGTATTATTCTGATTTTTTCTGATCTCATGGTACTGCAGTTTTTATATTTGATAACGAATGAAGGATCTTGGTTAGATATTGGAACCAGCTTGTCACATTTCATCATTATGGAAACGTTTGTCACAATTTTATTAGTATTATATGGAGTTGCACATTGGTTAACAAGTGTTAGTTATAGATAGATTATACAAATAGTAAGATAAAAATGTATGAAGTGTAAATGCAATTTCGAAATTACAATATTTATTACCTGCTAATTTATATCATTTATTTAATTTTCCCACGCGTTCCATCATTTAACTGTCTAAATATATTTTCATTACCAGTACGTGGGGCATACAAATGACCTTTGTAAATATTATTATCATATTTTTATAACTTCGGTATTCATATCTTTGCTAATTTGTATTCCAAACGGATTCGTGAATTTCCTTATCCTCAAACAAAGGTCATGAACATGTGATTGGAATATTTATTTCTAACAATTAGATCAAACCCGAATAGCTCCACTATCTATGGTCGATCACCCTGTACGATCTCCGCCTAGTACGGGGATCGGGGAATTTATGATTGATAACGCCAGATCTTTATCAGCAATGAACGATGGCTTCATGATACATAGAACAACGATAGACCATACACGTTCTATAATATATATCATGCATTTCAACCTGCCATGAGAGAAGGAATTTAAAAAATGACTGATAAATCACGCAAGAATCAAGATGCATATTACGCCTTGATGGTTTATTTTAATTATTGTCGGTTCATTACCATGTGCCACGATTCTCTTCTTTGTAGGGTCTCGATGGACTTGCCTTGTTTTACTAATATACTGATACTGAGATTCTTGCCGCTGTTAATACACAAATAGCTATCCTTATTTTTTTCTATGTCCGGAAAAAAAATTGACATTTCATCTCTGTTCGCTTGTCAAACAAAGTGTCACTTTTGATTCTAATAATACAATCTACTATTGTTATTCCTATTTCGTATTATTATTTATTATTATAGCGGATCATAGAGGACAATACTTAGTATTAGATGAAAAAGTGAACAAGAATCTGGTAACTAAGAGAATCGTGACTGATAGTGGTTTGCAAAAGTTCAGATCAACTATTGACAGCAATACTTGGTCTGATTTTTTCGATAATTATAATGATATTGATAAAATGGCAAATTGGTTGGTTAATTTATACAAAAGTACTGTTGAATATTGTTTTCCATTGAAGACACGTAAATCGAATAACTGCCCACCTGTGAAATGGTTTAATCAAGAATTGATTAACAAAAGGAATATTTTATCATCACTAAAAATTGTATGTGATGTGGATAGAGATCCTCTGAAGTGGTCACTGTATAAAGAACTGAAGAAAGATTACGAAAAATCAGTTATTATAACTAAAAAACGGCATATGATACTTTTATACAAAATTCTATTCAGAAAATCACTCTGCACAATTTGGCTTTCGAAGTAAAAGGTCCACAACACATGCTCTGCTTCAAATTATGGAAAATATAGTCGAAGATCTGGAGGGACATGAACATTCATTTTTGACCATGTGCGACCTCTCTAAGGCCTTCCACTGTGTTTCCCATGAACTCCTGTTAGAAAAACTCTCATTCTATGGAATAAGAGGCACACCATTAGAATCGTATTTAGAGGGTAGACAACAATATGTACACCTGAATAATAACTCTAAATCTGAACTCAGAAATGTGCAGCATGGAGTCCCTCAAGGATCCGTTCTGGGGCCACTGCTCTTCATCATATACATTAATGACCTCTGCTATCAAATGATGATGATTAGTTCAAACACTAATATTTCACTTCTACTAGATCATGCAGAAACTTTAATGACCGAAGCTGAGGCTTGGTTTTCTGCGAATAATTTACAACTGAATAGAGAAAAAACTCAGAATCTCATGATTTCCAGCAATAGTCAAGTCACGGCAGGGAACCACTGTAAATTCCTTGGAATTATTTTGGATGACTCTCTGAATTGGTCACATCAGGTGGATTCTCTTAGTACTAGGCTAGCCAGTGTTTTATTTCTGCTGAGACAACTCAGACAATGCTTACATCAGACGATGTTGATAAATATAGCTAGAAACGAAGACAGCTGGAATCGCTGGAAACTCAATGAAAAATTTATAGCTCGAGCTGGATTCATTCCAAAGCGCGAAATCTTTCAAGCATTTAAATGCTCACTAACACTACAAGCGTTAATAAAGTATCGATCGTGAATAGGATTTTTCATGTTG